TGCCATAAACCGCGCTGCGAAAGGCTATATGATGGCGCAAGATCATGGGGCACAGCAGGGAGTAGGGGCGCAGGGGGAGATGAAGAAGGATTTCCGCTACCAGCCCACACATATTATACTGGACCAGAGTGCTGAAAAAACAAGATGGGAAAGACCTTCCACCACGTCCTCAGGCACGAGTGCTGATGGAAACGGCACCTCTGGTGCCCCGGTTTTATGGAAGCTTGACGTGGATGCAAACGAGGTAACTACAACTAGTGAAATAAGGTCAGCCAAGTGGACTTACCGCCCGGCTCTCGAGGATGTGACTTCAGAGTTTCGTAGCAAGCTGTTGGACGCGGAGAGTCTAACGGAAGATTTTGAGTCTACAAAAAGGAGAAATTCGAGTGCGTTTGTGCTCATCATGAACTCGGCACGCTGCTTTAAGCATAAGCTGTCAAGCTCGGGGGAACTGAGTTTGGGGGAAGTGGAAGTGAGTTTGGGAGAGCCTTATGTCGACAACGCAGACCAGCCCCTGCCTCGGCTCGTCTCAGAAGCGATTCGAACTCGACGCGCAGCGATTTACTATCCGAAATATTTGGGTGAAGGCTTTGACAGTCAATTTAGCAGCTTCCGCGTGTTGAATGGTATAGCGTCAGCTGCTGAAGAAGATATTTTCAACTTACCAGAGAGGGAGTACGCAATTCAGCTTGACTCAGCCTTTCTGCACAATATGCCGCGATTCAAGGTTATACATGATGCCGAAGGACAAGTTCACCGCGTCGCTGCCGAGACCACTTCGCAGTTTGTGCGCAGTATAATTGGTTCCAACCCCGAAGGTCAAAGCACACATTCGGGCGAGGACAACGAAGTGATGCAGACCCTGCTGCGGCTGTTTGCTTGGTCTCGGTCTCTGTCACCCACTGTGGATGAAGGAGCAAATAGGGAAAGGGTCCAAGCCTTAAAAGATTATCTCCTTGAAAAACTCCCAAAACATGATAAGGAGATCAGGGAGCAGTGCCGCAGGGATATATCTGACGATTTGCGCTCCATGATCAATTACGACTTTCTGAGGACTCGGCCTCTCCACTCTCCATCTGGTGGCCACTCTCCATCTGATGGCCCACTTCACCGTCTTTCTGAAGGTGACACCATGCGCCGCGTGATTGTGAACTATATTGGCCTAAGGCAGCAGCTGCAGCAGGTCTTCGGAAATGTGGATGTGGAGTATGTCTATGCTGCCGAGATCGATGCGATTGCTCGTTTGATGCTGAACTTGATTTTGACTCCGGAGTACGTTGCGGAAGGGTTTCTCTCTGCCGCGTGCGCCAGCAGCCTCGTCAGGGCGAACTTGGGCTCGGCCGTCGAAGGTGAGGACGCAGAAGACGCAGTCACACGGATGTCGCTGCAATCTCATCGCGAGGAATGTCTCAATCGGAGTATCAAGTTAATGCTACAAGAAATCCATCTTCACGTTGTTCACAGGCGTCGATCTTCTTGGCCCCCTTTTCCCTTGTATTTTTATGAAATACAAGGTAAAAGGGGTCAAGATGAGGGGACTGAGATACAACTTCACAGGCAACATCTTGGCTCTCCCGTTTTTAGTTTACTACGGTAGGGAAAAGCAAGGAGTGCAGTTTACAGATTCAACGTGCGGAGGAGCGGGTAGCGGTCTCACAGGACTTTTGTTGAAGACGTTGTACGAGGACTATCTCGATAAGGGGTCCAAGTGTATCCCGCAGTCATTAGCCGTCGTACCGAGTCCAGCTTTTCCCTAGCCTAGTAAACTAAGAACGGGAGACCCAAGAAAGATGCTGCTGAAGATAATTTTTTCCCAAACATTTCTAATATATAACGGTGGCGAATTTTCGAGGAGCGTTTCTGGTGCCAGGGTATTTCGACCGCGTCCGCGATCTCAGGTTGTGGCATAACTACTTTGATGGGCCAGCGTGAAATTCCAGTTCGACGGGAGATCTTCTTCTTCCCTGAGTCGCAAGAATATGATTTGCTATACCGAAATAGAAATTGAAATATTAGAAGGAGCGAGAAGGTTAACATTGGAGAAAATAGAGATGGAAAGGCTTTTCTTTTAATCGTTTCGAAGTTATGGTTGGGTTTTACGAAGTGATTTCTTCGTAATTTTTTGGCTTTTTGGTCGGGTAGGTCTAGGTTTACTGCAAAGAATTTAGAAATTTGAAAATGTATGAGTGGGTCGGTGGTGCTGGTAGAGCCGGTGGACACGTCCTCTACCAGTGCATTATGAAGAAACAAGTACAGCTACAGATGATCATGAATGAGACTCAAACATGATTGTTAGAACTTTTACAATCAAGAATGCGATGTGACGAACAAGAACCAACGAGAAGAACTCAGGATGATGCATCAAGAACGGAAGTGACTTTCACCGCACCGAGGCAACAGGAAGTGACTTTACTTCTCAGGAATTTCTGAAATTTTTTTGAATTTTGGAAATGAGAGATGGGCGGATCCGGCTCCTTTCATGAGATTCTGATCAACAGCATGGAGTAGATATGTGATTTTTATCTATAGCCACGGTAACAAGTTCTATTTCACGTTCAAACATGTGAGTGTGAGTGTGACAGGGTAGTTGTAAATGGGTGTCAGATCTGATTCTGCAAATAGAGGAAAGAGATCCAGCTACCTCTTGTTTTCCTCAAGACAAATGTTGCGGACATCCTCGATCGAAACTACGGTGCCTGATCATCAGTGGAAAATACTATGCGATGCGCGTATTATAGAAGATTTTTGCCTATCGTCTCCGACTCTGCAATCTTCATGCTTTTTTTCCATCATAATTCGATTTTTTTATCCTACAACAAGTAAAGCAGGTTGCAGCTGGCGATGACATGAGTAAAGATTGATTCTTAAATTATGCGGAGTTGTAGTATTTGCATTTGTTGGTGCTCTCCTTCCTGCTTCGTGTTGCCTGAAGGACCAGCACCTTTTTCAACCAGTGTAAAAAGATGAAGAAATTGATCAAGATGAAGGGTAAGCTTGAGACGATGCAGATGGCATCTTCAAGCGCCAACGCTGTCGAAGCGACCATTGAGGATATTGTCGATCCCGGTTATTGGCGAAATTTAGTGCCGTTTTTGACGGTACGTGTGGGAGAAGACCACGTTTTTCAATTTTCTCAACAGCAAGAACACGATTTCGCACACCATGACATTAGCACACATCAGCATATGGTGCGCACACATGGCTACACCGTCGTTAGACCGGATGAGATGATGCCTTCTGACGCTGATAATATTGACAATGTTCTTGACAATGAATCCACTTTCACCTCCTCCTCAAGTGCTGTTGCAGCTTCTTCTTCCTCAACATCTTCTTCGTCCTCCTCTCAACAAGAAGAGGCTTGTTGTTCTGGTATAATCAAGAACAAGGCAACAAGATACAAAGCTTTGATCCAAAGGCTTTCCTCAGCTGCGTTTATTCTCCACGAAAATGGCTGGCCGGCGCCGGCTACCTTTTTAGCCGTCTATGACGAAGCTTGGGAACTTGCTCAGATCTGTCAGCGTTGGATGGACCTCCTGACTGGAAAGCAGAACCGTTTTTGCTTCGACATAGTCGGCTTTCACGTAGTGGACGGTGCTGGGTTTTCTCCGCACAGGGATCGGCAACCTGAAGATTGGATGCCCAAAGGACATCTGTCGGAAGATCCACGAACGACTTTTAGCCAGAAAGATGGGATGGCAAGGTACTTGACGTGTTGGGTAGCTTTGACAGACGCAACGCCGGAGAAAAGTTGTCTACACTACGTTTCCGCAACCGTGGATCCCGGCTACTATGACGGGGATGCGGCGGATGAAGACAATTCCTCTAGTAGTTATTCTTCTACTAGAGGAGCTGGAGCAGCTCCTGGTCCGATGGAAAAAATTTTCAAAGAAAAGGATGCTTTCCAGAAAATCTTTTGCGCATCCGTGAATGCCGGAGGTTTTTGTTGCCACACACATCGAGTGGTGCATTGGGGAAATCAAGGGACGATAGGGGAACTACAGAGGAGAAGAAGCGAGGATGCTGTTGGAGGTGGTGACCATGACGCCAGAGTTGCGATATCCTTTGCTTTTACCAACAACAAAGGGACATCCTTCGAACCGCCGAATTTGTTACCACGACAAGGTGAAGATGTCACGGTAGACAGGATCAGGACTAACAGCGCAAGTAGCGCTAACAGCAATTATATCAGTTGTAACGTTGTCACTCCTCCAAGCGACTTCGGCGTTCGAGTTGCTCTTTGCGCTGCACAAGTCATCAACTATTCGACGCTTTCCCTTGGCGACCCACGGGGTTGGCGCACCCTAGCTGGCAAGCAACTTGGAAAGAAGGATTTGCTGAAATTCTATAGAGTTTTTCAGAGAAAAGAGTCCCTGTTTCATGCTCACTATAGGAAAGAAATATCAGGGAAGTTCGTTGCGGTATCATTAGAAGTGACGACCTGTGGTTCGCCTGGTCCTTGCGCAACGACGAGCTGCAGAACTACAACAGGCTCATCTTCATCATCCGCAATGGAAGCCACTAGCACTAGTAGTTCTTGCAGTACCTCCGCGGCACTGTCTAGTACGACAGCCACAGTACTATCTTCCTCTTCATCCAGCACTAAAAAGAGGAAGAAAGTCGCCACCATGAAGAAGAAAAAGAGAAAAGCCACCCCAGGAGGTAGTTCCACCAAGAAGAAGAAGATTATCGGAATATCTTCGAAACCGAAAGGATCTCTCCAAGAACAAGATTCTGGCGACGACCTCGAAGACGCTGCTCTTGAGGCGATGCTTGATGCCGAAATGGGTACGAAGTCGATCCTGTTCCATGATGATTTTGATTTGTTGGCGGCGCAGGGAGGTTGTTAGGGATCCAAATCCCTGTTGACCTCGTGCATTCTTCGACAACCCCCAACTGTTGTGCATCCCTTCGGACAACTTTTCCCGATTTATTCCAGTGATATACGGATTCTCATGATCATGAAGGAACACATATTATCGCGATGTCTCTATCTTCATGACATAGTCATTTTATCGCGACTCATCGCCATGCCACAGCCGCCTTGCTCTCAGCCCTACCGTGTTCAGTGTTACATGAACTCATATATTAAATATAAAAGACTTTGTTCGTTGAATTGTCAATAAAGGATTGCAGTGATGCATGAAAATCATAGAGCTGAAAGCCTGGAAACTGAGAGAATGAAAGAACAAGCCGAGAGCAACTTCCGTATACATTGATTCCTAAGTAGAGAGATTCATGATTTCCATTCAGATCTTCAAGAAAAAATGAACAGCGATCGACGAAGTACATTATCTTCATTAGAAAGACAAGACAGAAGAACAAGAAGGAGCTCTCAAACTACTTTGGCTTGAATACTAAACAAGGAGGAGAAGTGCTAGGCTGGTGATCTACTTCTGCAGAAAGTTAAAGTACAGTAAGTTCTTCGTAATATTATACTGCAACAAGCGCCTACTGACAATTTCAGAAATAAAACAAGGAACAAGAACATGCTCCGTTCTACAACTGGGCGATTCGGCGGTGCTCATCCAGACTTGTCGGTTATGCGCAACCGCAGTATCGAACGAGGGAGGCCTCAATCGGCCAGGGCTATCAGTGAGACGTATTCACTGAACAAAGCACACAAGCAGGTACTACGTTGGTATCACCACCTGTTGGAGGTGATGGCATGAACGTGTTGTTGTCAGTTCTTCACAATCGAACTTCTGATCCATGTTTGCATGCTTGCTACAGGTTTTGAATTATTCTAAGTATGTCCCAGATGACTGTTCGACCGACCCCTTACTTCATCAGATGATGACCAGTGGTCATGGTCGTTCTGCCACCCGCGTTCAATCAGCTCGACGGGGTAGTCCCCCTTCCTTTGCAAGCCAAATTCCGAATGAAGCAGCGGTTGTGCGCCGACTATTGTCCGAAACACGACAGAAGTTGCAAAAAGTAGAGTCGGAAGCGGAGAACTTGCGTTCACAATGCCGTCATTATGAGGGGAAGCTGAGGGAGTTGGTAATAAATTCAAATTGTTTATTGTTTACCATTCGAGGAAAGGGAAACGATTTCTGTTGTGATTAATTTCTACTTTTCTTTAATGCAACTCTCAGCACTCGCATGAAGATCCTAGGCGTAAAATAAAGCTCCCAGCACAGAAGATACGATTCCTCACACTTAGGTCGAGCAAGACGACGCTTTCGCGGTGAAAGTGAAGATTGCTCACGAGCATCAAGTGTCGCCATCTACCGAGGATGGTACGCCTGGAGGGGGATCCTCTCTCAATACAAGTCCGAATTTCACTCCGGAGTTAGTGAACAATCTATGGTGGTACGATAAAACTTCTGATTGAGAACCAGAACGAAGGTGGAAAGGGAGTGTCATTCATGGATTAATGATAATGAATCAGTGGGGGCATGATCATCATCATGATCATCATGACATGATTCCCTTGCCGGGGGCAATCTCAATCAGTGGCATCATTTAAACAATCAGCAGCAAAAGCAATTACCTGGGTGTTCTCTGATGAGTGGAACAAACCCCATGCTTGCAAACATGAAGAATCTTAACATGCACCAAGTACATCACGTGCAGCAACTGGAACACATGCTGGTGAACCAGCAACAGTTATGGAAAAGTATTCAAGATGTTGCTTGTCGACATTTGCATCACTTTTATCTATCATACATGGACCAGAACTGGGAGGGTACCGGTACTAGAAGGGGTGGGAAAATAAGGGCTTCGACAAAAAAGGTAGAATAATCGATTAAAAAGGTAGAAGTAGAGGAAACGCAAAAGGTAGAAATCGAGAAAAATAGGAGCCTTAGAGAACCAAAAAAGAAGGAAAAAAGGCAGGAAAAGACGCAAAAGCGGCTTGGCAGGAGGTCGCAGCAAAAGGACGAAGGGCAACTTCTACAGAAAGAAGGGCGTGTCCATCTTACTTGCATATGCACGCACACTGGGGGGGGGCGGGGGGATCGCAAAGGGAGGGAGCGCGCCGCAAAGCTCCTGCTGCGG